GATCCGGTCTAGTTCAATCTGATAGGTTTGGATTGATTTTTTGAATCTGTGGTTCGGTTCTAGTTTGAAAAATTAAAAATCCATGGTCCATAGATCGGTTTGGGATTGAACCCTACGATTCCGGATTGGAACTGATCCAAACCGTATACAAATAACCTATATTTATATTATACACCATCCCGCATAGTATCTTCTTTTATTGCTTTTGTTTGTTAGTTTTTAGTTTTAATTTGTAATGGTCTAAATACTTATAGTGGAACTAGTTTTCTTATGATTATTTAAATTCTAGAACAATCTGTCGCTATTATGGAAAGACATGTTGCTATTATGGAACTAATATGATGCTATGTTTTTGTTTTTATGAAATTAAAATGTTCTACATTTTTTTTGTTATTTAATTATATGAATCTGTGGTCCTAAATCGATCCAATCCGTGTTTAAATAGATTGATTCAGATTAGTTCCATGATTTAAACGGATTGGATTGGTTCCAATTTTTCAAGAACTGTAGATAACGGATTGGTCATGATTTTACCCCAATCCGGACCATGCTCGCCCATAATTCTTATGAGGTTCTTAGCCAATTGGATTGCTGGATTTAAGGCTCCTTGAGTTGGAAAAGAAACGAGGACTATAGGCTTTTTTGGAAAGTGGGTTAGTAGCCAAAATCATCTTTTCACCTATTTTAGATCACATCATCTCTCACACTTTTTATACGTTTTTTCAAAAAAAAATAAAAAATAAAAAAAGTCAAAAAATTAACTTTTAACCATCTTTCCAAAACAATCCTATGTGAATACGCACCATGATGGGTAATCAATTGAATAAAAAAATGTTCATTTGGATTGAAGAAATTTATGTATAGAGTTCTGTTGAGTGAAGAAGATCGTATATATGGGTTGAGATGGGAAGTTATTGATCAATCTTGGGACACCACTAGGTGGTACCCTAATGGTTCATTTAGGATGTGGGTTGGTTTCTTAACTTTTTGGTTATTTTAGTTTAGGGTTAAAAATCTCGTTTGAGATGGCCTTTTTGACTTTTTATTTTTATTTTTGTGAGAGAAAAAATAAAATGATTATGGTTTAGATGTGTCATTTTGTCTTATTAGTTTTTTAGCATATTTTGTCCTTTTGTTGTTATTTTAGCCAACAGCAATGGTAGGTATCATGAAAAGTCTTTCATGAAAATGATCATGAAAGATTTGTGACCTTTGAATTACACTTAGAATAAAGCACCACACACTAATCAAGATATCTAAGGGTCACAAATTTTTCATGATCATTTTTATAAAAAAAATTTCATGATCCCTAACATTCCTCTTTAACCAAAAAGCCCAAAACTTCTTCATGCCAAACAAGGCTGTGAATGGTAAAGGAGGTGTGGTTCACGATTTTACTTTGAATGATTTGGGAATATGAAGGGATATGGTAAATTGTGAGTAATAAGGAGCAAAATATGTCGAGCCCCAAGAATACCAAATAATTTTTAGTTGTAACTATGGAGTGTTTTAAGAAGTTGGTTAAAAGTTAATTTTTTGATAAAAACGTGAGAAGTGATGTAATTCAAAATGAATTAAAAGTTATTTTTTTTATTTTTAACTCTCCTCCCAAATAGGACATGTGTAATGACGCGTGGGATGACGTTTGTTTGGGTCTTTTTTTATATAAAAAAATTGTATTTGAAATTTGAAAGTGCAATTTGGTTAAGTTGTTATCAACAATAATATGTTTAATTTATTGGTTACTTTTGGGTTACCGTTAGATCGTGTTTTAATAAATTGTTATCGGTGAAAAGAATGAGATTCATGAATTTAGGTTATATAATTAAAAAATATAAAAATATATAATAAATTGTAATTGATAAGAGATAAGTCCTACTGTACAACTAATAATTTTTCAAAACAGAGGCAGTTGAAGAGTATTAATTGATTTTGAAAAGGGCGGTCCCGAGTATAAATGCTAGTGTCTATCAGAGGATGGGTTGTCTTTGAAAAAAATTATTGATTGATTATATTGATTATATTTATTGATTGATTGATTATATTTGAAAAATTATTGATTCAAGAGTGTCATGTAGTCATTTTTCTTACAAACAACAATTCATTATATTTTTTTATGTGTGCCAATTACTTAATATAAATTCATAAGTCCCATCATTTCTATCAATCACAACACTGTTACGGCATTTCAAGACTAACCAATAATTTCTCTATTTTTGGTATGCATAAAATAAGTAATTGATTGATTTATTGATTTATTTAAGTCGCATTACTTCTCTATTTTTTATATGTTTTTCCGTAATAAACAAAAAAAAAATTCAAAAATACGTCATATCCAAAATAAGCCAGTATAGTATACAAGTGTCTTGTTTATTTGACTATTATTAATGAAATTTTTTTGTTATTTTAATGTAAAAATTCAATATATTTTTTAGACTCAAATGATATGATAATTTATTAAAGTGTTTAAGGTAAAAATTATATATATATATATATATATGTATAAATAGTTATTAATCAATCATTTTAAGTACACATTATTAAATTGAAAAAGTATGCTGGTATATATATTTTTCCTAATAAAAGTTAGTATATTTGTTTTAGGTGTCAAACCCAACCCCGTTTGGACAAGCTATTTTAACACACAAGCCAAAAAAAATCATTTTAAATTATCACATTATTTTGTTTATCTTTCTATACAATTTTTTTTTTGAATAAAAAATTAAAAAATCAATTCTAAAACCATACCAACGTGCCCCGCATCCACAACAACCATCAAACATTAATATATGGAATTTTTATTGATAAATTTTATTTAGAAGTGTTTTAATTTAAGAAATTCATGAAAAAAAATTTTAACCCGCTTAGTTTCATGTATTTATAATTTTATTTCATAAAGTCTTTTTTTTTATTTACACTAATCAAAGAATAAAAAAATTTCATGATGCATTTCATGATTTTTTTCATGATTCCTAGTATTATTCTTAATATTGATATTTAGGTCTCGTTTGGGAACATGATTTTTTAGTAACTTTTTAACGTTTTGGCTAAAATGTGATGTAAAAAAAATTAATATGTTTGGGATGATTTTTTGGCTTTTTACAAAAAAATGTGTAAAAAGTAGAGAGAAAAGAAAATCTTTGACTTTTTGGTATAGGTTGTTGGCTTTTTGATTTTTTTAGTAACTTTTTGACTTTTTGGATAAAAGAGACACTTGCCAAACGAGGCCTTAATGTTCATATTTAATATTGGAAGAGGAGAGAAAAGGGAATGGACCAAGGCATAGGCAATTTAATACACAAATTAAATAACATTGATGTCATTATTTTATATTATTAGATAATGCAAATATATTTTGAATTGACAACATATTAAAAATAATGTGAACATTATCTCTCATCTGATGTAAACGTTCACAACATCTTTCTGAAAAATTCTCTATCATCTAATGTAGTGATGTGAATATTCATAACATGTGAACCTTCTTATTTTTAATTAACAACATATTAAAAATAACGTTCATTATATTTTTAATTGACAATACATTCTTATTCACAACATTTAGTGATGTGAACATTCTCTCTCATCTAATATAGTAATATGAACGTTCACATTCATATGTTGTAGTATGAATATTCACATTATGTAATTGACAACGCAATGACAAAAAAATCATTTCAAGTTAAGGCTTGTGGTTGTGTAATTTGATGCAATGCTAATGTGAATCGTAACATCACCTTTATCACAATGTCATCTGATGTGAACATTCACATTCACGTCATTAATAAAGAACCATGTTTTATTTTTTTGTGTAATATATATCAAAATTAAATAGTGACGTGTAGTTAATGCATTTTTTTGGAGGGAAGACATAATGAAAATCAACATTAAATATCAACATTAATGGGGGCAGGAGAGATTTAGAGTGTTTTGGTCTTTTTACCTTAAAGATGACCTAATAAAATAGTTAAAAAGAATATAATAAGCTAGATGGAATAGAACTCTTAAAAAGGCGATTTATCAAAAAAGCTTCCTTAATACATTCAAGGAAACAACCCCAAAAAAAATAAAAATTGAGAAATGTTTTGAACATTTTTTAACTAAACAAAAAGGAGTATATACCAAAAAAATTATCAAATATTCTACACAACATTCATACGGAGGTGGAACTTTCAAATCACACCGAACCTCCACTCATATAATATTGTGTAGAATATTTAGTTAATAAGTCAGTGCAGACGATCAAATATAATTTTTTTCAGAACTCCAAATTTAATTTTACGTTTCAATTTGAAGATTAATTGCTTGAATTTATTTTTCTTTTCCAAAATGTTTCAGTCACAGCTTTATATTAATGTTTGCTTGATAAGTTCGAATTTCTTATTTTTGTTACACACATATAGCCCAATTAGATGATACTCCTGTTTTGTTATATTCAATTTCTCCTTTGGTCCCCACTACAGGATCATATATCCTACTTGTTTTTCCTCTTAATGAGTTGCATATTCTTTATTTTGGTTACTAATTAACTAAACTTTTCTGCTGTCTATCTTGTATGAGTTCCTCAAATTCCAAAATTTAAAAGTCTTGTGCTATCAATACTAAAAAATTATTGATTTAGCTGACTCAAATTTGAACCATGCGACCAACAAACAAAGAAGCAGAACAGTTGAAACTTGGAGAAACCACATCAGCCCCTACAAATTGAGTCACTAATACCAAAACCTATAGAAGTTAATCAAAACGAGGGGAAAAAAAATAATAAATGGGAAAATTGAGGGAAAAAACAGAGACGACTATGCAAATAATTTTATTGAATGCACTATAAAACCTTCCAAATAAAAAGAGAATAGCTAGGGATCATGAAAAATTTATCATGAAAATGATCATGAAAAATTTATAATCATTGGATTACCTTAATTAGTGTGTAGTTCTTTATTCTAAGTGTAATCTAAGAGTCACAAAACTTTTATGATTATTTTCATGATACCTAACATTGCTGAAATAAAAGTGATACAATATAGAAACACATTAATTTTTATTTCCTTACAAGAAGAAGAGAAAATATATATATATATATATATGGAATCACACATGAAAGAAATCTTACACACAAATACAACTGTTAAGATGAAAATGCTAATCTAACTAAAAACCATCTTCAATCTCGTCCACAAATGCCCTAAGATTCTTGTGAGACGATCCACCTTCCTTCACAGCTTCCTTTGCCAAATACTTCCATTTTTCAGCATTCTTCCGTATTTCTTCTCCAATCTCTCCATCTCCCATAACCAATTCAATGCACCTCTTGATCTCATCACCTTCAACTATTCCTTCATCATTCTTCGTTGCCCTTAACCCCGTCTTGAATTCGTCTTCTAAAAGCTTCGCATTTGTTGGTTGGTCTGTAAATTGCGGTAAACACACAACTGGAATGCCCAAAACCAAACTCTCCAATGTAGAATTCCACCCACAATGAGTCACGAAACATCCCACGGAAGGGTGTGAAAGAACCTCCACTTGGGAACACCATGGCACTATCAAACCTTGTTTTTCCAATTTTTCTTTGCAACTTAGTTTATCTTCTTGTTTCTCACCGTCTGCCAAAGCTCTTAACACCCACAAGAATGGCCGATTGCTTTCCAGCAACCCATGTGCAATCTCTTCCATTTCTTTCAATGGCAAATTAAAGAAGCTTCCAAACGAAATGTACACGACTGAAGATTGGGGCTTCGAATCCAACCACTCCACATAATTCCTTGATTTTTGTAATAGGTCGCCCCCAAAAGCATTATCAGATGGATCTTTTCCATCTAAAAATGCTGATGGGACTAGCGGACCTATTGCAATCAAGTTGTGCTTCCCAATAGCCCTTAATGCCTTGGATTCCAATGCATCAATTGTGTTTACTAGTATTTTCGGGTTAACTTCTGCATCGAGTGCATCTAGCTGCTCTTTAAATCCTGGTAACCCAAAACTAAATGTATTAGAAGGAAGCATGAAAGTGGGAAGATCGCGACTAGTGAGCTTTCCCAACCCGGGTAATTCAATAGCACACGAAGGGTCATCGCAAATTTTCTTAATCAAATCACCATAGCCATTAAAATAATGGAAATACAGAGCGAAAATAGTGGCAGGTTGAATCCAAAGAGGCGCCGAGGGAAGGTTGAATTCACGAGCCACTTCGGCAGCCCATGGAAGGAGCATTGGATAGACCACACCTGTTACAGGGAACCCTTCCTCAGACCTGGCCTTTATGAGTTCTGAGAGGGCTTTGGAGCCTCGAAGCTTGTTCTCGGACCTGAAGTGTTCAAGATTATCACCCAGTTTGACTCCATCATCGTAGCCATCGGAGAAGGAAACGAAGGTTAGGCCATCTGGGGTTGAAGAAGAGGCTTTTGCCATGCGATTTTGGGCAGAGACGCTTGAGAGTATGGTGACCTTGACACCCATTCTTTTGAGGTTCTTGGCGAATTGGAATATTGGATTTATGACTCCTTGAAATGGAACAGAAATGAGGACTATGTGAGTATGCACCATGTTGGGAAATCAATGGAATGAGAAAATGAGTCTGTTTGTTTCGATTGATGAAACTTGTGTGTATTTTGTTCTGTTGAGTGAAGTAAATCATATATCTGGATTAGATTGAGACTGTGTATGACGTTTGAGATGACGTTTGTTAAGTGTTTTTTTTTTTTTAATTGTATTAGAAAATTCAGAGTGCAATTCGGTAGAGTTGTTGGATAAACGTCAATATTGCTCTGACTATTTGGATGAATGAACACATTCTGCTATTAAAAAAAGTTGCCTACGCTAAAAAACAGAGGCAACTGCACGTTGTTTGAAGAGTATTCAGTTGATTTTCAAAGGTGCAGTACGGAATATGAGCGTTATAGTGTCATATTTGGATGGACTGCATATGGGGATTACAATGGAATGGACTATTTGTGCTTGGAATGGGATTAAAGTATCTCCACTTAAACTTTTAAATTTTGATATGTCAAATTTTTTTTGTTTCCTAGCTACGTTATGTTTATCTTTGCTTGTAAATAATGGATGTAGACCTTAGGGATCTTCAGTTTTTGATAATTAATATATTTTAAGTTTTATACTCTTTTGTTCTAACTTTGAATATTCTTTATTAATCAATCATTATTGAGTCTTTATTCTCAGTATTCTTTATGAATTGAGTTTAGAGAAGAATCTTACTTCCAGTATTCTTGTTGAATCAATGAATTTTAAAATTGTTACTATTTTGCGTTTCGCGTTGCATCATTATGCCAAATTATTATTCTATTATTTTTTATATTAATAATTTCTAAACTCTTTTATTTTACTAGGTCTCGTTTGGAAACAAATTATCTTAGTAATTTTTTGATGTTTTAGCTAAAAATATGAGATAAAAAATTAGTATGTTTAAAATAATTTTTTGATTTTTTATTAACAAATAAAAAGTGTAAAAAAATTGAGAGAAAAAAATCTTTAACTTTTTTTTTGAGGTATAATTCATTGTCATTTTAATTTTTTTTAGTAATTTTTTAAATTTTAGGCTCGAAGGTTGTGTCAAATTGGCATTTGCTAAACTTCACCGTTTCAAAAATAAAAAATAAAAAAAAGGCATCCCATACAAACTTTGGAGCCAAATCCATGTCATCATTTGAAGCACGGGGTGGAGCACAAATTTGGAGCCAATTATTACCGTTGGTGTGCCCTAGGAATTGCCACTGTTAGATGTTTAGAAATAATTATTTTAGTGAATATCAGAATTATTTGAAAAATTATAAAAAAGAACAACTATTCAAAAGACTATTTTATTTTTTTAAGTTGTTTATTAAATAATGGAAATGCCAACATTTTTAAATGTTGTTTTATTTTTTGTGTATGATTTGTAACATATTTCAAAGTCTGCTAAATATTTTTGTTAATCAGTAAAAAATAAATTTTATTGATGACCCCAAGTGCAATACATAATGCTAAATCAAACACTAATAAAAATTGTAAATGTTGATATTTTAAAGTTTTGTTAAAATAAAATAAAAAATAGTTGGGGACAAATTTGTTCTGTAAATAAAAAATGAACATCAATAAAAAAAAAAAGAAAAAGAGAGAGAGATATTAAATATAGCTAGGTTCAAATTCGTCTTTTACTAATTAATTCAGAGGATAAATTATCTGATCTTTCAAATATTTCACCACTTCCTTTAGAATAGAATAGTTCCATATATGAGGGATTTATAATCAACATTTACTTTTCAAAGAAAATAACGAATTAGTTAAAATATTAAATATAAAGTCTAATCTCACATCACAATCCCTCTAAACAAAAATCTTGAAATTACATATAAATAGTGTTACTCTTACCTATTTACGTGTGGACTTATCTTTGATGTGATAAAGATGCGCCTTTGTCAATTGAATAGATATTTTGTAAACTTTTGTCAATTGAATAGATATTTTGTAAACTTTTGTCAATTGAATAGATATTTTGTAAACTTTTGTCAATTGAATAGATATTTTGTAAACTTTTGTCAATTGAATAGATATTTTGTAAACTTTTGTCAATTGAATAGATATTTTGTAAACTTTTGTCAATTGAATAGATATTTTGTAAACTTTTGTCAATTGAATAGATATTTTGTAAACTTTTGTCAATTGAATAGATATTTTGTAAACTTTTGTCAATTGAATAGATATTTTGTAAACTTTTGTCAATTGAATAGATATTTTGTAAACTTTTGTCAATTGAATAGATATTTTGTAAACTTTTGTCAATTGAATAGATATTTTGTAAACTTTTGTCAATTGAATAGATATTTTGTAAACTTTTGTCAATTGAATAGATATTTTGTAAACTTTTGTCAATTGAATAGATATTTTGTAAACTTTTGTCAATTGAATAGATATTTTGTAAACTTTTGTCAATTGAATAGATATTTTGTAAACTTTTGTCAATTGAATAGATATTTTGTAAACTTTTGTCAATTGAATAGATATTTTGTAAACTTTTGTCAATTGAATAGATATTTTGTAAACTTTTGTCAATTGAATAGATATTTTGTAAACTTTTGTCAATTGAATAGATATTTTGTAAACTTTTGTCAATTGAATAGATATTTTGTAAACTTTTGTCAATTGAATAGATATTTTGTAAACTTTTGTCAATTGAATAGATATTTTGTAAACTTTTGTCAATTGAATAGATATTTTGTAAACTTTTGTCAATTGAATAGATATTTTGTAAACTTTTGTCAATTGAATAGATATTTTGTAAACTTTTGTCAATTGAATAGATATTTTGTAAACTTTTGTCAATTGAATAGATATTTTGTAAACTTTTGTCAATTGAATAGATATTTTGTAAACTTTTGTCAATTGAATAGATATTTTGTAAACTTTTGTCAATTGAATAGATATTTTGTAAACTTTTGTCAATTGAATAGATATTTTGTAAACTTTTGTCAATTGAATAGATATTTTGTAAACTTTTGTCAATTGAATAGATATTTTGTAAACTTTTGTCAATTGAATAGATATTTTGTAAACTTTTGTCAATTGAATAGATATTTTGTAAACTTTTGTCAATTGAATAGATATTTTGTAAACTTTTGTCAATTGAATAGATATTTTGTAAACTTTTGTCAATTGAATAGATATTTTGTAAACTTTTGTCAATTGAATAGATATTTTGTAAACTTTTGTCAATTGAATAGATATTTTGTAAACTTTTGTCAATTGAATAGATATTTTGTAAACTTTTGTCAATTGAATAGATATTTTGTAAACTTTTGTCAATTGAATAGATATTTTGTAAACTTTTGTCAATTGAATAGATATTTTGTAAACTTTTGTCAATTGAATAGATATTTTGTAAACTTTTGTCAATTGAATAGATATTTTGTAAACTTTTGTCAATTGAATAGATATTTTGTAAACTTTTGTCAATTGAATAGATATTTTGTAAACTTTTGTCAATTGAATAGATATTTTGTAAACTTTTGTCAATTGAATAGATATTTTGTAAACTTTTGTCAATTGAATAGATATTTTGTAAACTTTTGTCAATTGAATAGATATTTTGTAAACTTTTGTCAATTGAATAGATATTTTGTAAACTTTTGTCAATTGAATAGATATTTTGTAAACTTTTGTCAATTGAATAGATATTTTGTAAACTTTTGTCAATTGAATAGATATTTTGTAAACTTTTGTCAATTGAATAGATATTTTGTAAACTTTTGTCAATTGAATAGATATTTTGTAAACTTTTGTCAATTGAATAGATATTTTGTAAACTTTTGTCAATTGAATAGATATTTTGTAAACTTTTGTCAATTGAATAGATATTTTGTAAACTTTTGTCAATTGAATAGATATTTTGTAAACTTTTGTCAATTGAATAGATATTTTGTAAACTTTTGTCAATTGAATAGATATTTTGTAAACTTTTGTCAATTGAATAGATATTTTGTAAACTTTTGTCAATTGAATAGATATTTTGTAAACTTTTGTCAATTGAATAGATATTTTGTAAACTTTTGTCAATTGAATAGATATTTTGTAAACTTTTGTCAATTGAATAGATATTTTGTAAACTTTTGTCAATTGAATAGATATTTTGTAAACTTTTGTCAATTGAATAGATATTTTGTAAACTTTTGTCAATTGAATAGATATTTTGTAAACTTTTGTCAATTGAATAGATATTTTGTAAACTTTTGTCAATTGAATAGATATTTTGTAAACTTTTGTCAATTGAATAGATATTTTGTAAACTTTTGTCAATTGAATAGATATTTTGTAAACTTTTGTCAATTGAATAGATATTTTGTAAACTTTTGTCAATTGAATAGATATTTTGTAAACTTTTGTCAATTGAATAGATATTTTGTAAACTTTTGTCAATTGAATAGATATTTTGTAAACTTTTGTCAATTGAATAGATATTTTGTAAACTTTTGTCAATTGAATAGATATTTTGTAAACTTTTGTCAATTGAATAGATATTTTGTAAACTTTTGTCAATTGAATAGATATTTTGTAAACTTTTGTCAATTGAATAGATATTTTGTAAACTTTTGTCAATTGAATAGATATTTTGTAAACTTTTGTCAATTGAATAGATATTTTGTAAACTTTTGTCAATTGAATAGATATTTTGTAAACTTTTGTCAATTGAATAGATATTTTGTAAACTTTTGTCAATTGAATAGATATTTTGTAAACTTTTGTCAATTGAATAGATATTTTGTAAACTTTTGTCAATTGAATAGATATTTTGTAAACTTTTGTCAATTGAATAGATATTTTGTAAACTTTTGTCAATTGAATAGATATTTTGTAAACTTTTGTCAATTGAATAGATATTTTGTAAACTTTTGTCAATTGAATAGATATTTTGTAAACTTTTGTCAATTGAATAGATATTTTGTAAACTTTTGTCAATTGAATAGATATTTTGTAAACTTTTGTCAATTGAATAGATATTTTGTAAACTTTTGTCAATTGAATAGATATTTTGTAAACTTTTGTCAATTGAATAGATATTTTGTAAACTTTTGTCAATTGAATAGATATTTTGTAAACTTTTGTCAATTGAATAGATATTTTGTAAACTTTTGTCAATTGAATAGATATTTTGTAAACTTTTGTCAATTGAATAGATATTTTGTAAACTTTTGTCAATTGAATAGATATTTTGTAAACTTTTGTCAATTGAATAGATATTTTGTAAACTTTTGTCAATTGAATAGATATTTTGTAAACTTTTGTCAATTGAATAGATATTTTGTAAACTTTTGTCAATTGAATAGATATTTTGTAAACTTTTGTCAATTGAATAGATATTTTGTAAACTTTTGTCAATTGAATAGATATTTTGTAAACTTTTGTCAATTGAATAGATATTTTGTAAACTTTTGTCAATTGAATAGATATTTTGTAAACTTTTGTCAATTGA